CTCAACACGTGACCACCGCACACGACCCAATCGCACCGACCCGCCTTCAGTTCGATCCGACTTGTTCGTGTGCTCATCCCGATCAATCCGAATCCGCCAGATTCATAAAATTTTAAGCCATAAGTTCTTTATGTCAAACTTTTAGATCCACTACGCACAGGTTTACGCTTGCTATTGAATTCGTAACTTGTACATAACGAGATTTTCATAGATCCCAACAAGAGGACTTCCTAATCAGTTGATTATCGCATGTAAATGTTGAGGTATTAATAATATTTGTTCGTTTGGGAAAAAAAAAAGAGGATGAATAAAATCTAACCGAACTTAGATCAAAGGCTCTTAGAATTTCAAAATAAAAAAAGGGGGCCAAAAGAGAACATGCGGGCCGGGTTTTTAAAACTACTCGTCGGTTCTTGCTTGTCATTTGGGCCGAAATATAAGCTTAAAATGGTTGGTTCCATGAGGTCTTAAAGGATGATAAAAAGGATTATAACGAGACTCGCAAATGAACTAGAATCGAACACAAAACGAATGGCAAACGAATTTAAAGAATTCGAATAATTTATATAGACACTAAATTACAACAAACAAATTTAAAGAATTCGAATAATTTATATAGACACTAAATTCTAATTACTTACTTAAGGATTAAACAATAATGTCTATCGAAGGACTTTGTCGAGCTAGAAAATTAAATGCCATTAAAATGCATAATTAACTGGAATATGAAATATCTATTAATAAACGAGTGGGGCACTACACAATATTCTCAGAACAATATTTTGTTTGATTTACAACATCAATTTGAATGATAAAAAAATCTGAAAATATGTCATTGTTGGGATATCTCAATTCAAAATCTCAATTTTTTGAAAGTCTATCTTTTTAAGGGTGTGTTTATAAAGGAATTTACTCAAACAAAAAAAAAAAATTCATACTCAAATATAACTTAACTTTTAAGTCAACTACAATGTCTTTAATATTATCAATATAATTAAATAATAAAAATCAATCATTAAATAATAACAATCAATCATTGTTACACATAATATCAACTTCGATTTACTATTCATCTACTCACATAATTTTAACTACCACCACTTCATACAATCTCTCTCCTACTTTTACGTCTATCAACTTTAATTATTTTATTTTAAATATTATTTTAATATACTCTCAAAATTTCCTAACAACTAACTATACTACTTTATCTAAATTAACCATAGTTAACTAAAAAAACTCACTTTGAGTTAATTTTGATTGAAATTATCCTTTTACAAACACATGTCATAAGTTTTCGGTATATTAAGCCAGAGATAGACTAGGCGATGACCGATAGTCACATTTTTGGCATAAGTGTTAAAAAAATTGTTAAAAAAAAAGGATATAAATTTTGGTAAAAATAAAGAAATAAAAAATGATATCGACAATTTTTAAATTAATTTGTATGCAGATTAGTTTTCATCAATAATTGACACATTTTTGGTATAAGAATCTTCGAAATTGTTACCAAAAAATGGGATCCTATGAGATTCATATTTGAGAAAGGAATTGGTATTGATTTTATTTTCTAAATAATTAAAACAAAAATCCAGCTAAATTGTTTAACAATATGATTAAATTTGATTCCTAAAGATTCATATGTGATTTTTCTTTTTTGAAATTTGCATTAATAGTAAGTCAAACATTTTTTTTACTCGAGAAAAAAACCCTTCTCCGCCTCCTTCTCTCTCTCAAAGAAAAACCAAATCTGCTCTGTAAATCGCCGCCCCCTCCTCCGCCGGTGAGGTGCTGCGACCTTCCACCCTACCAGACTGAGGCACGGCCGGTTCCGTTCATTTCGCCCCCTCCAGAGCTCAACGGGAGACCCGGTCGGCGGCGGGTCTCGCTGTTCCGTCTCCATGGCCGCGGAGGGGCGCCGCTGCTATCTATTTCTGGTTCCAGCCGTAGGGGTTGCCGCTATGCCAGAGTCAGACTCGTGCTTTGTCTCTGCGATGCTCGTAGGAAGGGCGTGGACGCCCGACTCTGGTGTGAATTCTTCCAAGTTGGCCGCGACCCGCCTGTTCGCCGAGTGGCTAGGTTTCTAGTGCTCATCCGGTGGCGGCCATGGGTGGTCCTCCCTCAGGTCTTGATTTCGAGTCCTCCAACGTGTTCGTGGTGACTCCTCCTTTTTTCGCCGAAGTTGAAGTCTTCCAGAGTCCAAATCTGAAGTGAGAACAACCTCCTCGTCGGACCTGTCTAGGCGGTTGTCTGCAATTTTTGGGTTCGAGCTTTAGATCTGTGACTTTGTTGGTCTATTAGCTGAGTTGTGGGGCCTCGGGGGTCGGTTTGGTAGTCGTTTAGCTTGCCTGTTTGGATTTGGGGAGGTCTTGTTTTATTTGTGTATTAGGTGTGAGTTGTATTTTGTTTCTTTGTTTGTTTGGTTTGTTTCGTTTAGTGCAGCTTTGTCTGCTTTCAGTGCAGCTATGTCTGCTTTTAGAGCAGCTCGTCTGCTTTTATCTCATTTATGGAGTTTTGTGTTTTTTGTTTTGTGGTTGTTCGTCTCTTTGATGGAGTTTGTACCCCTTGTATGTGATGACAAAGGGGTTGGTCCAGTCTTCTAGTTCCAACGTGTCATTTGACATTTCGGGTGTACTTTTTTGAGTTTTTCAGTTACTAATATAATTGACATTTGGAAAAAAAAAGTAAGTCAAACATTTATTATTTAGTCAAACTTATTATTTAGATAATATTTCAACAACATTTTATATAAATAATTAAATATAAATATAGATTCAGTTAATATCAAGAGTTTATGTTACAAGTTACATTACGAGAATGTTCAATTGACAAAAAAATATTTTTTTTGAACTATTATGAGAATTGTTCAATTGACCAAAAAATCAAAATGCTTATATAAAAAATTTATAAATTAAAAATTAATAAGATAATTGACTATTTGTTGAATACTTGAAATAAAAAAAATATTGTAGATTCAAAGTAATTTAATTCATAGTAACAATGTAAAATAATTAGTAAAAGTAATATAATGACATTTTGTTTTATTTTTTTATTTATATTACTAACGTATGTATCACATGAATTACACTATTCTTTCCTCAGTTTTTCTATAAAACCAGATGGTTGGTTTTCTTATGGAACTAACCACTAATGGGACAGCTCCACATGAGACTATCCACATGACTTCATGTGGGACAGCCCCATGTGGAGCTGTCCCATTGGTGGTTGGTTCCATAAAGAAACCAACTATCTGATTAGCAAAATTGATTCTTTCATTTACTTGTGTAGCTAGCCTATTTTACTGTACTCAATTTTCATTTTCATTTCCCAAGTTTAAGATGGCGGGAAATTTCACGTACCTCGCACGCTTCTGCCCGTATTTAACCCCACACCGCCAAATTACAGGAACGCTTTTCAAAATTTTGGAAATATCTTTCTATTCTAGGGTTTCCTAATTTCCTAAATCCTGAATCTCCAATTGGTTTATTTTGACTACAAGTTCAACATTCATTTTAATTGTTTCCTTTTCTCTCTAATCACACATGGGGACTAAGGCCACCGAAGAAATCATCTCAATCGTCCGGTCGATCGTCGGCGACGAATTTTCCGATATGGACATAATTCGAGCACTCCACATGGCCAAGAACGACCCAACCGCCGCCATCAACATCATCTTCGACACTCCCAGAAGCTTCAGGAAGCCTGAACTCCCCAAGAAGTCCCAGCCCTCCAACAGTAATTGGAGCTCAGAGTTTCCTACAGTGATTGCTTCCAGAGAAAATCGGGATGGTGATCGTGGTGAGGATTCTGATACCTGCTTGAAACGAAGCGGGAGTTTAAACAATAGTGTCTGGGGAATGGAGGTTGAGGTAGATGGGAGTGACGTTAATGCAGTGGCTGAAGAACTGGGGAGTGAGTGGTGGTTTGTGGGGAACGGCGAGGTGTCAGGGATGTCCACTTGTAAAGGGAGGATCTTGAGGCCTGGTGATGAGGTGAATTTCACTTTCCCAACCGAGAAAAAGATGGCAGCACCTTCACCTGGAAAGTTAAAGGGTGGCCGGGCCCGGCAGGTGGCTGGGTGCTCTGAGATTGTAAGGTTTTCTACCAGTACTTGTGGAGAGGTACTGTCGTGTATCATAATTTTTTTGAACGGAATTTTTCTTTAGTAAATTCTCAAGAGAAAATCTGTAGTAGTTGCATTACTTAATCAATAAAAGGTTAGATGGTATTGGGCAACCATCTTCTCCGTCTTTATTTTTTCCAGAATGTGCAACTTTCCTCTATGTTATTTTAATTTATTGAGATGGTGTACGACTGTTTTATGATATTGGACTTGGGCAAGAGATTATATGAGTAAAAGATTCAGCGTCATTGTCTTAGTGTTCAAGAATGCTTGAACATTTGAGTTGCTACTTAAGAAAATATCTTGCTTATTCAGTATTAATAACATAAAGGTCGCAATGCCTCATATGATTGATAAATGTATATTTTTTCTGGTTGCATGTTATAATGCTGCTATGGACTGTTGCAGATTGGCCGTATTCCAAATGAATGGGCTCGGTGTCTTTTACCTCTTGTGAGAGATAAAAAGGTTTGTCTTAAGGGTTATTGCAAATCATCTCCTCCTGTCCTGGGGATTATGGACACTGTTGTCTTATCTATAAGGTATGTCAGTAGCAATTAACATTTTTATGAAATTGCCGTTTGTGTTTGTGCAGAAATAGCAAATGTCAGTTTAGCAAAAATTTGTCCTGAGAAATAATGCATTTGTTCTGATTTGTGTTGGGGGCGTAGAGTGTATATCAATAGCTCCATGTTTCAAAAAAGCCATGTGACTTCAATTAAGGGGTCCAGTAACTCTTCGGAGGAGTCAATTGTTCACCCCCTTCCAACTTTGTTTAAACTGCTGGGACTTTCTCCTTTTAAGAAGGTGAATATAATTTTCTTTTTTCATTCTAACTATTTGGTGAAGATTTCAAATACTAAATAATATACGAAATGGATTTCATGGCTGGACCGCCTTGCTTTGCGTAAATGGCATGTGTTGTGAATTCACTGATAAGCTTATCCTTTGTTGCAGGCAGAATTCACTCCAGGTGATCTGTGCACAAAGAAAAGGCCTTTAAATGCTGTGGTACAATATCCAATTTACTATCTAATAACTATATCAAGCACGAATGGATTTTGATGTTAAACTTTAAATGAACAGGACAGCTCTTTTTTACCTCCACCATTCCTACATATAAATAAGTCCAAGAGCACATCTCCAGGAGATGAAAACAATGTCGAAAATGATGAGTCAATTTCCGATAATGACCTTGACAATATTGTTGGTGTCACAGACAACTCAGTGTTAGAGGTTAATAATTATTTTTTAATGCCTCTGCTTACTCCTTGTATCTTTATCTTTATTTGATGTCGATATGACCTTATGATTTTTCTAGGAAATGGAACCGTCTAGTACCCTGCTATGTGATCTTCGGCCTTACCAGAAGCAGGCTCTTAATTGGATGGTTCATCTGGAGAGGGGACATTGTATTGATGAGGCTTCAACAACTCTGCACCCTTGTTGGGATGCTTATCGCCTAGCTGATAGGTCTGTGGATATTCAATGCTGTGGCTTACTTTATTTGTAGTTGCTTTTTGTTTATATACATATATATGTATACTAATTGAAGTTGGTTCTACTATTGGTAGAAGGGAATTGGTTGTATACCTGAATTCCTTTTCTGGTGATGCTACGGTGGAATTTCCAAGCACACTCCAAATGGCTAGAGGAGGAGTATGTAGATAATTTTACTTTTATGTTGCTTTTTCGTTCCTGCATTTCCTCGTATTGCAATGACTTGTCTGAATAGAGAATACAATTTAGATTTTGGCAGATTCCATGGGACTTGGAAAGACTATCATGACTATATCTCTCCTTCTCACCCGATCTGAAAGAGGTGGATCCACATGTATTGCATCTACCAGCCAATCATCTAATGATAACAGTGAAGCAAGCTACAGTTCAGACAAATCTCCAATACCTCTAAAGAAAGCAACAAAGTTTACTGGTTTTGAAAAGCTCAGGAAACAAAGAGCCATGCTTGTCAGTGGTGGCAGTCTAATTATCTGCCCCATGACACTTTTAGGCCAGTGGAAGGTATGATGTTACAGTGCTCAGATTAGTTTTTGATGATGTATGTAGAAGTTCAAATGCAACAGGAATTATTCTTATTGTCTAAAGATAAAACCCACCAAGACTGATCATTTGCCTTCCTACTTTTTAGACAGAGATCGAAACTCATGCTCAGCCAGGGGCTTTGTCACTTCATGTTCATTATGGACAAAGTAGAACAAAGGATCCAAAATTCCTTGTGCAAACTGATGTTGTGCTAACTACTTATGGAGTGCTAGCTTCAGAATTTTCAGCAGCGGTACTTTAAAAATTTTGAACTGTAGATGAAGCAGCTTTGGAGGATTTCTCCTCCCCCTTTTAAATTTTGTGTTTTTGGGTTGAAAATTGGGTGACAATGTTAAACAACTTTAGCTTCATTAAGTCCTTAAAGTTTGTTGTTTGAAAAATGTATTGCCCTTACTGTATGTAGAATGCAGAGGATAATGGGGGACTATTTTCGGTCAGATGGTTTAGGGTGGTTCTTGATGAGGCACATACCATAAAATCGTCGAAAAGTCAAGTTTCTATTGCTGCTGCTGCTCTTGCTGCTGATTGTCGGTGGTGCCTTACTGGGACACCTATCCAGGTAAATGATAACTTTCTGGTAGCTCGGCTGGCCTGGTGAATGCTTGAAAATGCAATATCAGATCTTAATCTGATTCATGCTGTTCTTCCTTTTCTCCCAGAAATACTACTATCAGAAGTCTTTGAATTTGTTTTCTTACTTGTGGGCTCTAGCACAAGTATCACCTTCAGCACCCTTCATTGACATGTTTTCATTGATTTGCTTGTACATTTCCTAGTGTAGTTTTCTCTATGTATGATGAATTCAATTACAGATAAACTAAGGTTTTTTAAATAGTTCAAGAAACTTTTGGTTAACCTTATGCGCACCACCAATTGTGCTAAATGTTAGTTGTGATATACTTTTGGTTTGTGGTTATGACAAACTTAAAGTAATCTTCTTGGAGCTTTCTGATACTTTGAACTTGTTATTGGTCTTTGGGTCTGCGTAGATAGCATTTTATTCCATTGCCTGCTGGAGACATTAGGGGTCTGGCTTTGGTTGACTAATGGTGAGGGGTTATGCTGTACAAAGCTGTATAAGGTGTTTAGGCGATCAGCTATATAAGTTCAGTGATAAGAAGATATTTCATGTAAGTTTCTTCATCAGAAAATAATAATGTATCTAAAGGTTATTTCTTGTGGCAGAATAACCTGGAGGATGTTTTCAGTCTGCTTCGATTTTTGAAGATTGAACCATGGGGAAACTGGGCATGGTAAGCAACTTATCAAAGTTTTACACATTTTGGTTGACGTCATGTTTTTGCAATTTGCATTATTCTTCTGATCAACTTCGAATCGTAAAGTGCCTGTTTATGGCGTCTTAACATTTCCCTTTAGTTTGGTGTTCCTTAACCCTACTTCCCTATATTTATATCTCAGTGCAGTTTCCTTTTAGCGTTTGTTGAAAATGATCAATCCATATGTTGTTGGATGATATACTGTGCGGGGATGATGCCATTAGTTATATAGTATATTTACTTTTGTCCGCCTCAACTTTCCATTCTTACACCCTTCGTCTTTAGATAATTGGGTGTGACTGGAAACCAAATTTATTTTCTTCTCAGTCTCATCTGTCTCTCTGCTATAACTGATTGTTTTTAAGCCTTGCTTGTTCCCTGCATGCTTACTCATTCATCTTCCACTCCATACTGTTTGTACCTTCTTCTGTTTGTTTAATGGCTTTGGTCAAAACTCAATAACTGAAGTGGACTTTTCACCAATTACTTAGGTGGAATAAGCTAGTCCAGAAACCTTTTGAAGAGGGTGATGGAAGGGGATTAAAGTTGGTCCAATCTATTTTAAAGCCAGTCATGTTAAGGAGAACCAAGTCTAGCACCGACAAGGAAGGCAGGTGGGTATTCTAAAGCTACCATTTTCTTTTTCCCTTTTTGTTTCTTATAAATTATAAATGTGCCACTTACTGTCTTTGTGCTGTACCGTGCCTAACTTTATTTTCTGCAGGCCTATTTTAGTTCTGCCACCTGCAGATGTTCAAGTAGTATATTGCAATCTTACGGAAGTCGAGAACGATTTTTATGGAGCATTGTTTAAAAAATCAAAGGTACTATCATATGGCTTCTGTGTATGCAATGTATCTTTGTTGTTGTCGTCCAAATTAAATCTCCTTTATGCATATTTTGGTTTCAGGTTAAGTTTGATCAGTTTGTGGAGCAAGGACGTGTTCTCCATAACTATGCTTCAATTCTGGAACTACTCTTACGTCTTCGTCAATGTTGTGATCATCCATTTCTTGTTTTAAGGTGTGAATATATCTTTAGGAACTAGCCCAAAAGATTTTGCCAACTTCGCTGCAGTTGTTGTATGATAGTTGCCGAAAGTTAACCTAGGCGGAATACCTTACAATCTTGGCAGATATTACTTAATGTCCTTTTCTCCCTCTGTGTCTTTAGCTTGTGAGATTTTTCCTTGGGGAGTGGGGTGGTGTGGGAGGTTATAATGATTCTGGTGTCTTGCCAGACTTATGTTTGTCTATGTCGTGTCTTTGTGGGGTTGCATTTATACAAAACAAAACTGCTATTTACATGTACAGTAAAAGTTGTGGATTACGACATCCCCTTACACGCCTACCACCCCCCAGTCTGCCCCTTTAGATTTATTCACGGGAGCTCACACATGTATCACTTGTTGTTTCTGCTGGTGATATAACCTTGTCTATGTTTTGCAGCCGAGGAGACACTCAGGAGTACTCTGATCTGAATAAACTTGCGAAGCGTTTCCTCAAAGATGGCTCGGAGAATGATGGCCCGAACAGCGAAGTACCTTCCCGCGCTTATATTCAGGAGGTAGTGGACGAGCTACGCAAAGGGGAACAAGGTGAATGCCCGATATGCTTAGAGGCTTTCGAAGATGCTGTGTTGACTCCTTGTGCTCACCGACTTTGCCGAGAGTGCCTTTTATCCAGCTGGAAGGGCTCTTCAACTGGACTTTGCCCCGTTTGTAGGTACCAGTGTTTGGTCCTTCTCTAATATTTCCCATCTTGTTTATCCTGTGATTACAAACTCGCTATTTTGGACGAACATGTGAAAATGGACGATGATATTCCACACCGAAAAAATAAAATAAAGAAAAGTTAAAAATAAAAGTGAAATATGAGATTTTGAAGGGGATAGCTATGCTTTATGTAATTCTGTCAAAATTGCTGGTCTGGCCTGGCATTTGCCTGCTTGGCCGAAGGAAAGATTGGACCTTGGTCAAAAGTAGAGAAGTAGGGCTGTTTATTTAGCTGACAGCAGCAACTGATCTGTTAAAAATGCTGGGCCCTTTAAGATTACAGGCTTATGTTAATTGAACCAACCCAAATCAAACACCGGGCTGGTTTGGCCAGGCTAAAGTTGACAGCTCCAATTTTAAGCAGCACTGAAGATGTCTAGGAATGGTGATTACTTGCCATGATCATCTATTTGATATGATGATTCCTTGACCTTGACTATTTTCACAGGAAGACATTTAGCAAACAGGACCTCATCACTGCCCCTACTGAGAGTCGGTTTCAGGTTGATATTGAGAACAACTGGGTGGAGTCGTCTAAGGTCTCAGCACTAATGCGCGAACTGGGACATCTACAGTCGACGGGCTCCAAAAGTATTGTCTTCAGTCAGTGGACTGCCTTTCTGGATTTGCTGCAGGTTCCTCTTTCTCGGTAAAGACTTTTGTCTTTTCCCAAATACTTTTTTCTCCATTTTCTTTTGAATATAATTTCAAGTCATTTCTTCACTTGTATTTTGCATATGACTGCAAGAATAAGAGTATGCTTCTTCTCACAAGTTGCTGTTTCTAGAGTCGATGAGACAAGTGTCAATGTCCAATTTTTAGTTTTTAAACAAATTAGCGAATGACTTGTCTTCTTCCCTACTACTTGAGGAATGACATAATGATTTAAAGCTAATTATCTTCATTTTTACTTGTTCTGGCAGCCCATTGTGCTTTATACATTATCTTTCTCTATGTATGTATATAACGTTTTTTAACAAATTATCATGCAACTGATATTATTGATTGTGCATGTTCTGCAGGAGTAATATCAAATTCCTTCGTCTGGATGGGACCCTGAACCAGCAACAGCGTGAGAGAGTGATAAAGCAGTTTTCGGAGGAAGATGACATCAAAGTGCACTTTTATGCTCTTTGCTTTTGTCTTAAAGTTGTATGAATGGAATTACTTAGGCTGAACCGTTTTGATGTTTTGTTATTTTTCAGGTATTACTCATGTCGCTGAAGGCCGGTGGAGTTGGTATAAATCTCACTGCAGCCTCTAATGCTTTTGTCATGGTAACATTTCAGATAACCTGAAAAATTCATTTTAGATGGAACAACATTAAATGTGTTTCCTGATAATGATTTTGTGTTCTGAGATTGTACTCGCAATAGTTACACTAATTAATAATTTGTCGCTTACAAATAGTGTTCTGAGATTGTGTTCTGATACCATCTTTGTTTTTTTTTTTTTTTTTT